TCCCTCATGCCGCCGTTATTCTGCATGTGCGAGGCAGAGTGAGAAGAGTGGGGGGAATTGGCGCTGCCAAATCCAAAAGAGAGAGACGGGGTAGTGTTTGGTTGGGAATAAGGGTATGCATCGCGGACTTTGCGGGCAGCAGTCGCAACCGCCTGGAGCGCGGTTTCGAGAGTTGGGCGGGGTATGAGGGAGATGATCAAAGGCTTGAGGTTAGGCTGGTGCGACAGGACGGAGTTGAGGAGAGGCAAGAGAGACTGTGGCGGCAGTGAGGCTGAAAAAGTCAAATAATCTCAGTTGATCGATGTTGAGACATGGGACAAAGGAGTGGCTCCACTCACCCAGCAGGACGCCGACGTCTATATTATCGTCCTGGCCTGAGGACCCGTCGTCAACAGACTTGCCCTTGGCCGTTTCGGTTTGCGCAACACGTAAGCGTTTGGCGATCATCCTCTTGGGTTTCTCTGCCAAGGGCGAGGGGGATCGGGTGTTCATCATCGTGTCGCCACCGAGCGAACCATCATTCTCCGCATCCTCCTCGACCTCGTGCCGGCGCTTGGTGCTCTGCCTGGGAGGGACGTGTATCCTGGGTGCGGAGGGTGACTGGGCGAGTGGGTGGTGGTGGGCGGGGGACGGGAGCGACGAGGAGGGAAAGCCGTGGAGCCCGAAGCCGAAGCCGAGGGGCGACGGCGAGTGGGCGACGGGCTGGTTGGGGAAGGGGATGTGCTGCTGGATGGGCGAGTACACGTTGGCCATGGCGGGCGGGAGGATGAGATGGGTGCACGAAGCAGCAGCGCCGCGGCCACTAACCACGACGCCGTCAACAACCGCACACAATGCTTAAACAGCATCTTTTGCTTCCGGCGCCGCATAAAAAAAACTTCACCGCGCGTTCGCAGCTCTTTCTCCATCCACAACGTCTGCCGCTCGTGAGTCCCCTTTCTCGCTCCTCTTTCAGTGAAGATTCAAGTTAGAATCGCTACATTGAAGCTACGGCTCATGAGTACGAATTATATACCCAAATTTCTGAGCTTTCCACTCGTCGGTATTTCTTTTTCAACACCCATGCTGACTCAAACGTCGACTGTTTTTAGGGCTCTCACAAGATATATCTATCCTCAACTGGTTAGTCTCTTCTTCGTTTGCATCACTCCAGTGATGACTACAAATAGAAGTCAAGCACAGAGCACGGTTTAAAGAACCGTGTATTGACGATCATACCATGCTAATACTGATATCCCTTCCGCTCTCCGCATCCTGCTCGTTTTTGAATTCGTGATGCTGACCGGCTTTCATATGAACAGACTCGTTTCCTCAGGTAATTTCTGTTCCTCTACCATGTACTTCTACACCAGTGAAATCTATTGAGAGTCCTCTACTGGCGACGATGTTTAGCGCCATAAAATGCGGCCCTGTTTAGAGATTCTGAGGGATGCTGTCGCTGGGTCGTAAACTAAGCAGATAGGCTGCAAAACTCACAAGTCGCGTCGAGCTTCCCCTATTTCTACTCATTGCCTCGTCTGCAAAGAAAGTCAGCCAAGGTCTGGAGAAGGAGCTGCCACGAACCTTTTCTGCGTTCATCAGCCTCATCAGCCCCTCGTACACGAATAGAGCACAAGAATTTACTGGAAATGCTCGCAGAAGGACAGGCACCATGCCGCTGTAAAAGCCGCGCAATCCCACTGTTCGGTAGATGGTTCGAGAAATCTCCAGAGGTGACCTCTTGGGCGCGTCCAGTGGGGCCATCAGTATACGACTACAAAAACAAAACATCTCAGTGTGAGATTTTGAAGTGAGTGAATGACTTACTTCTTGACGTTATCGAAAGGCATGGCAAAAAACCAGAATGTGAATGATGCTAGACCGCCGGCGAAGAACGTCGACATTCCGGTTCCCATCTAAACGGGGCATGCTTAGCCTAGACGAAAAGGCAAAACGAAGGCTTTAGGTAGTATACCTCGTAACGTGTGCCATTAAGCTTGGAAAACGTGCGCATTAGAACCTGTTTGAACAGTTCCCGATAAACCTTCAAAAAGAAATGGTAGGAGCAGCGAAGGTTACCTCGACACTCCCAAACATCCAGAAGAAATTTGTCCGGAATAAGATGCCGCTAGCGAGGCCCCTCCACAGTCCGAGGGGACCTTGCGCTCGGACGACCTGCCGTGCGCAGTCAATGGGACCTTTGAACTGGCGGTCTTTGCTTGAGCGCTGCATCTGCAGCTGTAACTTAACTTTCAAGAGTTCGAACGGATGGGACACGAAAGCACTTGTCCAAGGCATCGGGTAAGAATTTCAAAATAGTCGAGAAGGTTGAGCAATACTGCACCTTGTACATCCAGCGGCAAGGCCCGCCAGACCATGCGCAAAGAGCGTGAGGCGTCTGTCGTCGGAACTTGTAGAATCTGGGACGGGTTCGGTCATGCCGTTGCGTAGCAGGAGCAGTCGGTAGTTGTGCAGTGACCCCAGAAGGACAGAGTCGACCATTGCCCAGCCGACAGCGGGGGGCGATGCGCCCTATAACCCATCATAAAGAATGTTATGGACATGGGGAATGAGAAGATGAAAAAAAAAATGACGTCAACCTTGTACAGTGCTAATACAGACTTCAATCGGCCGTGAGATATCTGCTCGTAAGACTATCTATACAATGGTAGGCGTACTTCGTTGCGGATGGTCTTCATTAGGCAATCGAGCGCGCCATTATACATCCCAGGAGGCGCGCATTGCAGACGCGTCTTTATCGTGTCAAAGCTAAAAGACGAACGACATCAGCACAGGGTAGTGCAAATACACGCGCGAAACACATACCCGTGCCCAACGCCTACCTTTTTTACGGGGATTTAAGATAAAAGATCCACCTCGAGTCATCCAGTGCGTAATCGCACCTTGGTAAGTCCTGTAGCGTCGCAGTAAGCAGTAGACAGCAAGCCGATAGTGAACACCACGCACCTGAACCGATGCCTGCGATGGCGCCAGCGATCCTTATTCTGCTTCTTCCACCCGCACTCTGCGCTCCGCCCTCAGCTTCAGCAGACATTTACCCAATGATCGCTTTTGCAGTGTATGAGGATGATGATGGTCTCTTTAAGTTTGACCAAGCGATGTTCAGGACGGTCGAGCGGATTTAACAGCGCGCAAAACCCGGTGGCTGTGGATGCATTAAAATAGCAACCGAGTCCGTAGTCAGCTCGCCGCCAGGGCCGGGGCGCTTGAAAAGGCGACCCGACGTAATGCAATTTCGGACGCTTTGCTCTTTCTCTCCACCACCATGCTCCCCCTCCCCGCCCACTCCAAGACCCCCGCGGCGTGGACGTTTGTCCCCCGCCGCCGCGCCGTCTTCTTCACCTGCGTCTTCGTCTTTGCCCTCACCGTCTCCCTCTGGGCGTACTCCCTCGCGCCGCCAGACGAGCCGGAGACACTGTCAAAACCACATAAAACCACAGACGGCGCGCTAACTAGTCTGGGGCTGGAGGCGGATCGTTCGTACAAACTGGGCTCTACCGATATCCCCTCATACAAGGCCGAGCTCGACGAGTTCATCATCTCTGCCTTTCCAAAGACCTTGCACTCGCAACTACGCGCCTCTCTCAACTTCTTTGTCCCTGATGTGCCATCAGACGGGCCAGTGACGTTCCCCTCGGTGCCTAGAAAGATCTGGCAGACCCACAAAGACAAAGGTCTCATTGCCGACGAATTGTGGAGCACACAACCCGGATACGAGTATCGGTTCCTAGACGATCAAGAGGCGAACGCGTGGGTAGAAAAATGGTTCAAGGGGAGCGAGATCGCCACCGTCTGGAACAAGCTCGATGTTGGAATTCTGGTTGGTTGCCGCCATTGCCCGGTCTGCCACGCGAGCGCTTACTCACTGTTAGATCTATTTGTAGAAATCCGACCTGTTCAGATACCTTGTCTTATTAATAGAGGGGGGCATTTATTCTGACATGGATACCATGCTATTAAAACCCATCCCTTACTGGGGCTCCAATCCTGACGTCGTCAAAGGCACGGGACCTGCGAGTCTATTTGTGGGCGTGGAAGCTGATGTGTAAGTACCTTTCTGCCAAGGGACGTCGTTCGCGCTCACTGAAACTCTGGAAACCTTGAAGTGGAGAGCGAGAAGACTGGCACCACGTACGTTTACCCGTGATCGAGATGCGCACCCTTCATCGTTCTAACCCCGAGCGATTTCTCTGCGTAGTGGTGGTCCCGCCCTTTGCAAATTGTGCAATGGACCATCGCTTCGGCCCCATACCACCCCGTGTTACTTGACGCTGTGCGACGGGTGCACAATGCCACAATGATAATGGACGAATGGCGTCGTTCTAGCGGCATAAACGAAGAAACGAGGGGAGAGGCACTCCGTGTACTATTGGGAGAAAAAGGAAGCTGGATGAGTGTTATGGAATGGACAGGTGCGTTGTACTTTGTGTCCTTGGGAGGTGCTATCATTTATCCCGCGTTCTGTGCGTTAGGTCCCGGTATCTTCACCGACTCGGTATTCCGGTTCGTCGACATTTTTCTGTTTTCCGAGTATTTCCATCAAACATTCATATGGGCCTTCAGGTACCTCGCGGTTCAGCACGGTATGACGTGGCCTGTTGCAAAAAATTTAAGACGGCCGCTTCGAGCGCAGGATGTTGTGATCCTTCCAGTAACAGGTACTCGCTATTAGCATGCGTCCATTTCTTTGCATTCGTTATTCATCACTTGCCTTATTATAATAGCATTCTCACCGGGCGTAGGTATGTTCGGCTCTGAAGAGCCCCTAGACGAGCAGGCACTCGTCCATCATCTATTCGCCGGCACATGGAGGGAACCTGCACCTGAGAAATAGGTGCACAGTCTTTTTATACGCTTTCACTGCTTTCATCATACACGCTTTGTTCCTGGTGTCGAAACATAATTGTACTTGCACCCGTTGTATCAACATATCTGAGATCTCTGCTCTCATCAAAACCTCTATATATACAAAAAAAAATCCCGCGCCACTAAGAAAAGAGAGGTCGTGCCCGGATTCGAACCGAGGTCACCAGAACTTCCGAAAGTCAGAATCTGGTGTGATAACCAACTACACTACACAACCGTGGCTGCATGCGACCAAGAGGAAGTCTTAGGAGGCGCGAAGGAAGTCAAGGACATGACGTGTTGTTTGCACCCCTGCGCATTTAGGCCAAAAAGAGGAAGCGGGTCTTGGCTTGCACATCCATCTCCGTCCGCACAACCACCACCATGTTCATGCTTAGATCTTGCAAGTCAACCATTTCATACTCTCCACTCTGCTCGTGCTTATGCTTCCTTCACGCGTCATGCAGTATATGATCGCGTCTGGGGTCCGTCGATCTCTTTGCCTTCATGTCGCCTCCCACTTACATATGCATCGGGCGCTCACAGGCGATCCAAACGCGGCAGAACTCGCGCAGATATCCACCGGTGTCCTCTTCCTCGTGCGGCCCGACAAGCTCAAAGGAAGACGAGAATGCATGTGCGTAGCGATAGCGATGCCGATCGTGCTCGATTGGTGCGTCGTGACGAATGCTGACTCCTGGTGCCACCTCTGTGCCCGGTGCTTGTTCCGACTTTGCAGATACCCCAACGCGATGATCACGGTTCGGCGGACGTCGAAGCCGTTCCAGTTCCAGCTTGTTGTGGCGCGGGTGTTTGAAGAAGGGGAGGAGCTGCTGGACGAGGATGAAGAGGATGGTGTGTGCTGCGTTCCTTTGTTGTCTCCTTGCCCCTTTGCCCTTTCATGCCGCTTGCTTACATTCGTTTATCCATCTATTCATTCGGTGTGGCGATCGCAACGCAGTTATGGATGAAAGGGACTTTCTGATCGCCGAGGAAATTCAATTCCGCACGGGCATGCACGAGGGGGAACAGACGTTTGTGTGGCGGGATCTGGACGGGGATGCAGGCGACCTCTATGAATTCGTCGCCGAGGGCACCAACGCGCCCACGGCCGCGTTCTTTGAAGCATCTGTTTTGAAGGCGATCTATGAGTTCAAGTATAGGACGTCGTCGAACGGTGTGTCTGAGGACCAGCTTCGCGCTGTTGCGTACAAGTAAGTTTCGGTTTACTGTCTCGTGGATCCCACTAATAGTATTATGTTGGCTTAGGCCTGAGGAGAAGAAAACTCGGACAAGCCCTCGCAACACCCGCTCAAAGAAGGCCGGAGAAACAAGCAAGGCATCTCCGATCCAAGCTGAACCGTCAGCACCACCGACCCCACAGAAAGTGTCTCCCACGAAATCCCCTCAGAAATCTCCATCCAAACGAGGCGCCCCCCCGCAAGAGGAAGTCTCTGAGGTAGCAGATGATACCAAGGTCATCGAGACCCAGCCTGCGGAGCTGTATATACTGGACGTCGAGCAGGACGTATTCATAATGGAGGCTAAAGTCGATGCGCAGATTGTCGAGTCGCAGATGAATGACTTTGAATGTGAGTTCCGGCTGGGCTTTCCTTTGTGCCAACCCTCACTCCCTTATTCCTTCATTCCCTCGTTCGCGTGTTCGCTGTGCGTTAGTTTGGATTACTGCGACTGCTGAAGACGGCTACACCGTGCTTGCGCATATTATAACGCCTGATATCAATGGGCGTTGGGCAAAGGTTTGTACCTTCGTCCTCCCTGCCGTATGCAGTCAATTTCATCTAGTATCTCTTCCAGGGCAGTCTTTCGTTCGTATGGAACTATCCGGGAGAAGATAATCGGATCAACTCCTGGTGTTTCCGATTCGATGATATTGCTGCGTTCCAGCGCTTCCAGCGGACGGTATCCCAGTGCCTCTACGAGACCACAAATCAAGTTGGTTGGGGTAAAGCAAAGGTAAGCCGCATAAACCGTGTACCTCTCGCAGCCCAAAACTCATAGCAAATTAGGCGGATGAGCGAGAGTATGCGCTGAGTTCGTATCAGGACGTCGAAATGGCTGATCCTGACGATGAGGAGGAGATCGAGGACTCGTTGCTCGAGGAAGAAGGTATGCACGCCACAAGCCCGTGGTATTTGCGTATTTGAACACAACCTCCCCCATTAACGCAGAAGAGGAGCCTGTGGACGCAAAGAATGAAGGAGGCTCCGAGGACGACTCGGACGAGGAGGAGGCCAAGGCGCAGAACGCGAAGGATGGCGAGATTAATTCGCACCTCACGGTAGGATACAAGGGAGACAGCACCTTTGTCCTTCGCGGGAACAGGATCGGTATCTTCCGTCACACCAACGACGGCAAGGTCAAGTATAAGGGGACCATCAACCAGGTGACGAATGGAAAGGGGAAGCAGTTCAAGCCAAAGAAAGTAAGTGCTGCAGATATTTGAGAGTTTGTGCGAGTGGCCGACGATGATTTTCTTGATTCTAGCTCATGCTGCACGACCAAGACGCGTCGATGATCCTGATGAACCCCACAGACCCGCAATCGCTGTATCGGATGGACGTGGAGGTTGGAAAGGTTGTGGAGGAGTGGAAAATCCACGAGGACGTCCCTATCCTCCACATGGCGCCCGATACCAAGTTTGCGCAAACGACAAGCCAGCAGACGTTTGTCGGAGCGTCGCACAATGGGCTCTTCCGAGTTGATCCTCGCCTGCCTGGCACCAAACTCGTCGACAGTCAGTTCAAACAGTACGCGACCAAGGCGGCATTTTCCAACGTCGCGACGACGGAAGCTGGAAAAATCGCCGTCGCGTCCGAAAAGGGCGACATACGGCTCTTCGACTCGATCGGAAAGAACGCAAAGACGGCGCTACCTGCGCTAGGAGATGCGGTTATAGGCGTGGACGTCACAGCCGACGGGCGCTGGATAGTCGCGACGTGCAGGACCTATCTCCTGGTGATCGACACGCTGATTGGCAATGGCAGGTATGCCGGTTCGCTGGGCTTTGATCGAAGCTTCCCTGCGGAATCGAAACCGGTTCCAAAGCGGCTGCAGCTGAAGCCAGAACACGTCGCGTTTATGGGTGCGGCGGTGAACTTTACACCTGCGAAGTACGCTTCCTCTCTATTTCTCTCAACAAAATCGCGCTGACGTCCGGCCGTTACTCTTTTTATAGATTCAATACAGGCCCGGACCAGACGGAAAACACCATCGTCACCTCGAGTGGGCCATTCGTCATTGCCTGGGACTTCACTAGGATGAAAGCCGGTCGGGCAGACAAGTATGATATCAGGCGGTGCGTTTCAATCTTCAAGCATCCAACGTTCAGGCAGCACGACTCAATTGTTTTTCTGGTCTCTACGCACGTACAGATATGACGACACGGTCGTTGCGGACAACTTTAGGTTTGGGAATGACAAGGACATCGTGAGTTTGCTCCACCATGGACCTGATGACGCGCAAATCGATCAGTATCGGCTTATCACCGTCTATTCGCGCAGATCGTGGCGCTGTCCAACGACGTGCTCATGGTGGACAAGAAGAAGCTCCAGAAACCGTCGCGCAAATCGATCGCACCCAGCAGAAATAGTATCGTCAACAGCCCTTACTAGAAATGTATAATTATCGAGTCTGTGTTTACATTGGGTATGCTGTCGGGTTTTTCGAGTCCCTCGCTCTCGATTTCGACCGTGCGGTCATATGTATACTTAGTTAGCTAGCGTAAGAATTTTGTCCTGTTGAAATGTGGGAAATGAGAGCAAAGTGATCGTCATTATCCCTATATCGTATGAAAGATGATGGATAGAGAAGGCCTGGGTGGTTCGCTCGACGCTCCGTATCGAATACAATTAATATATATAATATTCGTAGATCTAACGTTTGGTCAGAATATTAATGAATGCCAGAGGAGATTTTTGAGGCTATTTCCACGATGCCGGGGCGGCGGGTGGCGGAGGGTGCGTGTGTGGTGCGCTGTTTGACGAGGAGCTAAGGTGGTGCATCAGCGGATCGAGGCTCATCACAAAGTTGAGCAATGGCACCTAATCGGAGCAGACTCGCTGCTTCAGCCACTCTCACGATGTTTATCCACTCCTTCCACAATCCGCCATATCTCGCACGTTCGCTCCAAGCGGTCTCTCGCTCTCGAGCTCACCCACCATGAGAGGATCCCTCTTTGCCAGCGAAAAACGAGAGGCTGGGGACATCAGTCCCAGCAAGAACGACATATTTTCCATGTCGTGGCGCACCACGCCACCGCCGTCCCTTTCAGTTCACCTGCCGGGCGCGGTAGGGCTCTCGAGGAGCAAAACCGACGGCGTATCGCACCGGCGGCCGCGCCCCCTTCACACAGAGCCCGCCCTCACCACCAGCCTCTGGAGGCGATCGGCAGACGAGGCCAACTTCACTTATGACTCCCCACCCAAACCCGAGTATCCTAATAAAGAGTCCTCCTCATCGCACGGCGGCTCGACGCGTAACTCCTCGTTCTTCGAGCCGTCTTACACGTCCCCGCTTGCATCTCCGTCGGCCACTTCTGCCTCGTCGTCCCCCACGCAGGTGTCTCCGCTATCCTTCACCCAGTCTTCCAACCCATCTCTGGTAGCACCTCTGTCCCCCACGCCCACACTTGCACCAGACAGCTTTGAAGTTCGTTTTTATCCCACGCCAGACTTCCGCCTGGGCTTAGGCCGGTTCTCAAAGGTATACCTTGGGGGATATCGGAGCCTCGCTCACAGCCCCAGCGAGCAGTGGGAACTATGTGCCATCAAGCGAATGGGGGCGGACACGGAGAGTCAAGAGCTGGGGCTGAGGGAAGCGTGGTTCTATCGTCGGTTAGGGGCGACAGAAGGAGACGACGTGGCCGACCAGCATACGCACCCGGGTCAGCGATACATTGCGCGCCTCATTGGGACGCAGGACGAGGTGTCTTTTGTCGCTGGGACGCATACGCCAAAGTCCCAGCGATCAATTTCCCGGCTGGCAATTAATGTTCGCTCACCATCGGGGCATGAATCAATCCCGCCTGTGCCGCATTCGCCTGTACTGACACCACCGTCCAGCGCCTCGCTCTCCCCGACACACCTGTCATCTTTCCTAGGCAAACCACACCTATCTACCTTGATCCTCTCGTATGAGCCTCTTTCCTTATCCCAGCTCATTCACACGAGCCCTGAGCTCATTACATCCCGAGTGCACACATCCATCTCCTACCAG